TTTTAGAAATGACTGACAGTGGCTTACAGTAAGTGACTATTAGTCATTTCTTTGTAAGCCTAAGTCCAAAAAACTATATGCTTTATCAGCCTTACCTTCCTTAAAGGGTTCTACTCTGAAGCCAGTGATCAATTAAGAAATAAACTAAGTTTAAAAAGGCCAAAACCCAATTTTGAGGCATGTGACTGACTTATCTCAACCGTCTTTTGTAAAAGAAACTCGCATCTTTCAGGAAATCTTCACTTGTAAGAACATCTCTGTCTTTGCACCTAAGCCACTAGGAACTTTTAATTATGGGGAAAACAATGTCTTAAGGTACATAACAAACGTAACCTTTATTTAAATCTAAGTTCTATGCCTTTGAGATGTAAATGTCCCACCTTCTTTGAACTGAGTCTCCTTTTTGGTGCTGTAAATTTAGAGATGCCTTCCTAACAATTGCTTAGGGCATAGAAAAAGTACTCAAGAGACGGACAGACTTAAGTGGCAGAAAAAGTTTTTAAAAACTGGCAATGAAAAATGTCATAAATCTATTGTGGTAGACAGGGACTAAAAACATTTAAAATTATTCCTTTTTATTTTTTTTTTCATTTATTCCTTTTCTTTTTTTTTTTTTTTGAGTTGGAGTCTCAATCTGTCGCCCATACTTGAGTACAGTGGCCGCTCCCGGCCACCGCAGCCTCGACCTACTGGGCTCCGGTGATCCTTCCACCTCAGCCTTCCAAGTAGCCGGAACTACAGGCGTGCACTACCACGCCCGGCTAATTTTTGATTTATTGTATAGATGAGGTCTCGCCCACCAAGGCGGGTCTCGAACCCACAGCTCAGGCATCCACTCACCTCAGCCTCCCAAAGGCGCGGGATTACAGGCTGAGCCACCAAGCCAGGCAATTATTCCTTTTTAAAAATCAACCTGCAGACTCCAAACCTGCTGGACATGGGACTTGGGAAAACCAAATAGCCACAGGTGGCTTTCCTGGAAGTACAAGATTGTAATCGATTCACAACCTTACCCCCCACATCCTCTCTTTGTGAAGTGAGTGATTTACCAACCCCTGCTTGTCATGTATATCCTGGAGGCAATTTGTTCTTTGAAAATCTGGTTTTGAGCTGGGCTCAGCCTGTAATCCCCCACCTTTGGGAGGCTGAGGTGAGTGGACTGCCTGAGCCCGCGGGTTCGAGACCCACCTGGGCAAATTGGCCAGACCTCATCTCTACAATAAATCAAAAATTAGCCGGGCATGGTAGCGCGCACCTGTAGTTTCAGCTACTTGGAAAGCTGAGGCGGAAGGATCGCCGGAGGCCAGCAGGTCAAGGCTGTGGTGGCCGGGAGTGGCCGCTGCACTCCAGTCTGGGCGACAGAGTGAGACTCCGACTCAAAAAAAAAGAAAAAGAAAATCCGGTTTTGCTCAATACTACTTTACAAATTCCAAAGAAAAATGTATGGCCATACAACCCGATCCCCCTCCCTTACCTAAACTAACACATAAAACCCCTCTCTTCTTTCTCCGGGTTGCTCAGCCTTGGAGGATTAGCCCAATGACTGACACCAGCACTAATAAAATGCTACGTCCTGAGATACCCTTGGTGTCATGGTCTCTGTTTTCCCGCAACACTGTAAGAGCTGCCAATGTGCGTCTGTGTGTCTATATATCTATATGTGCTATGTATATGTGGTGTTTCACTACCAAAATATATGAAAGACTTCTAATTATTTGGGTTACAAAAAAATAAACACTAAAATAATTTTTTTTTTTCAGAAAAAATAGAAACTTTAATTCAGGCCGGGTGCATTGGCTCAAGCCTATAATCCCAGGACTCTGGGAGACAGAGGTGAGAGGAATGCCTGAGCCTGCTGGTTCGAGACCAGCCTGGGCAACTTGGTGAGACCTCTCCTCTACAATAAATAAAAAAATTAGCTGGGTGTGGTGGCGCATACCTGTAGTTCTAGCTACTTGGAAGGCTGAGGTAGAAGGTTCATCTGAGTTCAGCAGGTCAAGGCTGTGGTGGCCATGTGTCACTGCACTCCAGCCTGGGCAATGGTGAGACTCTGACTCAAAAAAAAAAAAGAAAGATACTTTAGTTCACATGACTTCAATAATCTTTAATGAATAAAGAGAATTTTAGATTTTTTTTTTTTTTGAATCAGGGTTTCACTCTGTCACTCAGGCTGGAGTGCAGTGGCATGATCATAGCTCACCACAACCTCAAACTCCTGGGCTCAGACTATCCTTCCTTCTCAGGTTCCTGAGTATATGGGACTACAGGTATGTGTCATCATGCCTGGTGGATTTTTTGATACTTTTGTAGAAATGAAGTCTCACTATGTTGCTGGCATCAAATTCCTGGGCTCAGGCAATCCTCATGCCTTGGCCTCCCAAAGTGCTGAGATTGCCATGCCTGAACATTTTAGAAGTATGGCTCTTTCCCCCTTGAATACTGTACTTTTACGAAAAATCTCTTTGGAAAAATCATAGATCACAAATACTGCTGTGATTTGTGTTTCCTTTTTCTGGGCATGTCCTAAAACTTTGGCAAAAATAAACTTTAAAATGAATGAGATCCTTTTGTTGTTGTTTGGTTTACATCAGAGACATACAGAGAAAGAGAGCTTATAGCTTCAATTTTAAAATTTCACACAAGAGTCGAGAGTAAACACAGCAATGTAAAAACTCATCAGTTCAGATATCAAAGAGTTGTTCTCCTCCCATTGGGCATAGATATTTTTAACTAATCTGAGCTCAAAGTAGATAAACAGGCAAACAGAAAAGACTAACAAACAAACCAGATTCTATGTCTCTCACCCAAAAGAAATTAGGTCTCTGGAGACATTAATCCCTTTACAGGATTCATCAAGTGTTTACCATAAAAGCAAATTCCCAACCATTGATGTCAGCAATGGGAAATAACTATACGAGGGGAGACCCCTAAAAATCCAGATTTATTTCTAAAAACTGTGCATTTATTCGTACATGTTTAAACTTCAGCCACCTTCAAAGTATTCTCTGTTTGATGCAATCCACCTATGGAGATGCTTTTTCCACTGCTCAAGACAATTTTGAACTCGTCAATTTTGATGCCTTTTAGTGCTCCTGCCATTTTTTGCTTCACTTCTTCCACATTGGCAATAGGTTTCCCTTTGAGAACTTTTTTCATTGGAAAAACAAACAAAAAAACATTGCTGGGAGTGAGATCAGGTGAGTAGGGAGGGTGGAGCATAGGGGGTCATGCCATTTTGGGCCCAAAACTGTTGAACACTCAGTGGGATAAGGGCAGGTGTGTTGTCATGGTAGAAGAATCAGTCACCTGTTTGCCACAACTCAGAATGTTTCTTCTGCAAACCGTGACACAATCTTCTCAAAACTTCCACCAAAAAAAAGAAAAAAAAAAAAACTTTAGTTAACTTTGCTATGGAGAAACAAATTCTGAGTGTACTAAAAGGGGCCCACCCTCCAAATAGATAATTCCATTCTTTTGGGGGTCCCACCTCATAACAAACTAAAAACAAAGTAAAACATAAAATTTGCAGAAGGGGAAATAACTAAAACAAGGAGTCAGCAAATTTATATTGCCACTTTGGACTCACCTGTAGCAGCCAAGAGAAGACGCACGTGGGCTTCAACCACTCCAAAGGTGCTCCAGTCCTAAGAGGCAGTTTGACTGGCTCAGTAATGTGATTCCATTGGGGTCTCTGTGAAGACCTAGAAAACCTTAAAACATACAGCAAGATCATAACTCTCATACAGATATAAAAATGAGCATATGCTAAAGATTTTATTTAATTAAGAGGAAACCTGCAGATATTGTATCTGTTTCAAAAGAGAATCTGAGAAATAGGAATATTGAAATGATGCTGTATATAGAGAAACGGAGTCAAAACTGAGTTTTCTCTGTTGGGGATGCGGGGAAGTCGACCACCTTCCACCAGATAGAACATAATTTGCATCGGTTGCCCAAAATTTTCAAAGAGGTGTAAAATACCCCCAAAGACAATGAACAGGGCTGGAACTAAACAACATGGTCTTCCAAACATGCTTAGTTTTCCACTGAAACACAAAGTTATTTTTCTACATGCATCATCCTCGCCAGGAGTTAAAGTTATGGGTAATTTCCTTCTTTGAATCCCATGTGCATTTTCTGATTCTTCTAGTAATCACCAATCAAAAGTGGTTCGGACAAGGTAGATTTCTTTTTTCCTTGTTGGGCAGGTGGGGGTGAGGGTGGGGAGTACCCTGTTGCATGGTCATACTCTATTCATTTTATCGCTAGGTTCTATTTACTCAAATTTTCGTTAAATGCGTCATTTGGGATCACAGGCGAACACGATGCACCCCCTTCCCCTGTCACGGTTGTGCGTGGACACTGATTCTAAGCCTGAAACTCTCGGGGGGAGAAAAGGACTCGACAGGACACACTGAGGAGAGATGCGAAGTGAAGCGGAGACAGCCCAGACGCTCCCATAAAGGTTTCCTGAGACTAAGGAGAAATCTGAGTCCGGGGTTCGCGGCTGCCAAACCTCATAGCACAGAGCGTCTTAACCGCTAGACGAAGTAGACACTTTTAAGACGTTTTCTAACATAGGAGCGCGTAGGCTTCTGGGACATAGAGTCCTGGGCCGTCGTGGGCGCAAGGCCGGGCAGCGGGAGGACTTCCGGTCCCTCGTGCGCATGCGCCCCTCACCTTGCGTGCGTGTTCGCGCGTGCGCACGGCCGCCTCCCTGCCCTCGCTTCCGGTGCGTTCCCCGGTCACTGCTCGCCTGGTCCCCAGGCTTCGGCCTCCGCTGGGCCGGAATCGCGGGTCCTGCGCGGCTGGGCGCTGACCGGCCGGGCCAGCACCCGGGCGGGCGCGGGGCTGTGTGGGCCAGGGTTCGCGCGGGCCGGGAGGAGGCTCGAGCGGGGACTCCCG